CCCCAAAACCCCAAAACCCCAAAACCCCAAAACCCCAAAACCCCTCATCTACCTCGTAAATTATAATATTTATGCAAGTTACAATCTTTGTAGTGATTGCAGCCTTCTTTATGGCAGCTAGATGCTTCTGCCCATCAATGTTTCATAGAGAAATGAAGTATGATTACTGTGTGAACATCACAACTGGACTCCCACAGAACAAGACTGTCTGGGTTGATAATTGTGAAGATAACAAGGTATGCATGTTTGGAGGCAGGCAAAAGGGATTCATATGGCCTATCACACAAGCAGATTTAGTCACAAATTCTGCTCTCTTTAAAACTGCTTATAACCTCTCTGGAGTTGACACTCCAGGATCTCTACTTGGCAAATGTGAAGATCCAAAGGATGTTTATAAAGGAAAGAAATTAGATGGAGAGAACTGATCCTCTGACAAAGATTGCCAAGAATTAAATTGAGATCCTATCAACAAAAGATGTGTTGGTATAGAATTTGGCAAATCATGAACTTCTACAAACCAATGAAGAGCTAATCACAAATGAGATGCAGGCACTGGTCTCTGAGCAAAAGTAGGAATTCAGGGTGATGCCTGTACTTTAGACGATGATTGACCAATGGATATGATATGTGAGGATGGAACTAACACTTGTCAATATATATTTGAAGAAGTTGAGAATACAAGTGTACAAGACCCTAGAAGGTGCTTATCAGGAGTCAAAGTAGGAGCGTCAGGAGGAGCTGGCCAATGAAGGTAGGAAAGATTTTAATAGAAAATTAAATGAATATCATTCTGAACTTACACTAATATTCCAAGCTGGGAATTTGACAGTTCTAGATCTCAAGATAATATTTCTGAGAATTAAGCAATTCTTTTTATTCTTCTAGAATTTTTAGGAAACTTATATGACTATATCTACATTGGAGGTTTCATTCCTTCATTCATTTATCCAATTTTATCTAGAACTACAAAAACTATTCAGCAGAATGGAGTTGTCTTGACGAACAATGTATGAGACCCCACAATTGCAAATCCTTGTAATTTATTTTCTGGTACTGACCAGATTTACCCCAAGAATGATTACACTGACTTCACTCAATTAGCCTACACAGTTTCTGGAGCTTTAGATTGCCACTGATATTATGGAGAAAATGGTGCCTGAATGCCTATTGGTGATGAAGATTGGCTCAACATGCATTCTTATTGGAGATCGAATATAGTCTCTGGACTAAAATCCCAATGCCACCAAAGCCGAAGATTTGACCCTCTGGCATGGGTAGATTGCCAAAGCGGAGTCGATAAAGGAAAGTTAGATTATTTCATCAGTGAACTTTTCCGCTTGACAAACCATGTGTACGTCAATAACACTTATTACAAGAGCTTTGTTGGAAACATGACCATTCTGTCTGCTGGCTACTGGGCCATAATCAATGATCGTGGCTATGAGCCTCAGCTGTGGCTCTTCATCCTAGGCTCGGGCGTCTCATTGCTGCTGGACTTATAATCGAAAAATTATGTTTTCAATTTTGTGTGTTTAAGCTGGGGTTTTGGGGTTTTGGGGTTTTGGGGTTTTGGGGTTTTGGGG